CTTCTTCAGGACTAACATTGGGGAAGGAACAGATTAAAAAATGTGTGTGCATGCATCTACAATAAAGAAAGAACTGAACGGAATTACATTATCAAAATGGACTTCAAGGTGGAGCTAATACAATATAAGTCTCTTGTATTATTAGTTTAGTTTCAGTTTTAGTTTAGTTAGTATACTCAGTTAAAAAGCATCAATAGATATACAGGGTAAGGTTGATTTCGAGTAGGTATAAAATAAAAAATTATTTGAGCATGTTTACAAATATGGTGATCGCTGATACATTAACTCAAAAAATTCCTTTGTTCTCCTGCAGAATCTCTGTGCAAGCCACCCACCCACCACCAGAGAGCAGTAAAATCCAACATGGTGCTCATCCCACAGCAACACTGCTGGTATGTGCTGGAATTTTCTAAATCAAACAATGTCGTGACTGTGCAGTGTTCTTTCAAATGCCAATATTTATTATGGATCCATCTACTAACAATCCCATTTCGAAGTGGTGCTACAATTTAATTGAGAAAGGATGCATGTGTGATTAGAAAATTGGACATTCAGGCCAACCATCGGTCCTTGCAAGTTGTCGATTGCATCAGAGAAGCCTTTTAGCCCCAAGAAGTCAATGCTCAGAGCTAGCTGAGAGTTGCATGTCCTAAAAATGCACAGTAAGCAAGATATTACGCAGTATGTATGATACCAACTGATACCACATGAAACTTTGTGAGTTGATGCAACTGTAGCCAATGTAAGCTATGTACCGGGATGGGCTCCCCAGGATACAGTGAAGTCACGAACAAGGAAAGCAACCTCAACACCAGCTTTTGCCACAACAGAATTTTACTTAGATGTGGCAAGTAAACACAACCACAAATGCTGGGAACATACAACAAATTTACATACACCCAGCCCAAAGGCTGAGACCCTTGTGCTGCACAGCACGGCGCCTTCTGATGGATGAAGGTAGAAAGTGAAGTAATTTACCTACTGTCGGGCACAAATAAGCTGCCACACCTTACCTGTTATTACCCTAAAAGAGCAGGAATCCGTGTATGGGTGTATGGTATAGGCTAGCCTGCGGTGCAGCACAACAGCTTACAATCTTACACAAATCTACAGTATTCCCTCTCCCATAACTGGTCCTGTAGCACGTGCCTGAATATTCTTTCTGAGCAAAATGCCAGTCTGGCTTGAGTTTGTAGGATTGTATCAGCTCTCCAATGTGAAATGTCACTTTAAGTTGTGGAGTCCTTCCAATAATCAGTAACAACACTTGTGGCCTGACAAAAACAGAGACCCTAACTAACTAACTATAGGCCTGGTCGCAGTCTATAGGCACCAACACTGAAATGAGGTGCGTACACGGTCTTACCGACCCGGGTCTGCTTTGCATACGTTGGTGACTCTGAACAGAACAAATGTCTCTCCAACAGGCCTGCGATATTGCAGTGTATGCTGCGTTGTTCCTCTGCTCTCATCAGCTTCCTGGCAGAAATTTCATCAGCTTCCTGGCAGCAATCTCATCAGCTTCACCTAGCTGCAGCTCCACACACGGCCCCTTCATTCAGCATTCTCCAGAACATGGCTCCTGTCTCCTCTTCCTGTTTCCTAACTCCAACTCTGTGTGAAAACTCCATCTCTTCATGAATATACAAATATCTATGCAGTCTGAGCTTGTGTTAGAAAAACAGTGACATCTGGTGGCTAAACATCAATTTACTTCCACACAGTGTTCAACAACTGTTTCCCCATCTCACACCAATATGTAAGAATATTCCAATAAAGTTACATTCTATATCTGCTGGAAATCAAGGACTGGTTTTGTGTTCACCTTGTACATTGAAATCTACAGTACGCACCTCATATACTTTAAGTATATACAGAGTCAATATACAGTTGCAAGAAAAAGTATGTGAACCCCTTGGGATTACGTGGAGTTTTGCATGAATTGGGCATAAAATGTGCTCTGAACGTCATCTAAGTCACAACAATAGAAGAACACAGTCTGCTGAACATAATACTACACAAACATTAGATGTTGCCATGGTTTAATTGCACATAACATGTAAACATTCACAGTGCAGGGAGGAAAAAGTATGTGAGGCCCTAGCTTAATGACTTCTCCCAGAGCTAATTGGAGCCAGGAGTAAGCCAACCTTGACTCCAATCAGTGTGATGATATTGGATGTGTTGCTGACAGCTGTCCTGCCCTTAAAAAAAACACACACCTGTTTTGGGTTAACTGGTTTCAAGAAGCACTGTCTGATGTGAACCATGCCTCGCAGAAAAGAGCTCTCAGAAGACCTACGATCAAGAATTATTGACTTGTATGAAGCTGTAAAGGGTTACAAAAGTATCTCCAAAAGCCTTGATGTTCTTGTGTCCACGGTAAGACAGACTGTCTACAAATGGAGAAAGTTTAGCACTGTTGCTACTCTCCCTAGGCGTGGTTGTCCTGTAAAAATGACTGCAAGAGCACAGCGCAGAATGCTGCATGAGGTAAAGAAGAATCCCAGAGTGTCAGCTAAAGACCTACAGAAATCTCTGGGTCATGCTAACATTTTTGTTGACACATCTACAATAAGGAAAACATTAAACAAGAATGGAGTACATGGGAGGACACCACGGAGGAAGCCATTGCTGTCCAAAAAGAATATTGCAGCACGTTTGAAGTTTGCAAAAGAGCGCCTGGATGTTCCACAGCACTACTGGCAAAATATACTGTGGACAGATGAAACCAAGATTGAGTTATTTGGGAAGAACACACAACACTATGTGTGGAGAAAAAAAGGCACAGCACACCACACCATCATCAAAACCTCATCCCCACTGTAAAACATGGCGGAGGGAGCATCATGGTTTGGGGCTGCTTTGCTGCCTCAGGGCCTGGACGGATTGTTGTCATTGATGGGAAAATGAATTCCAGAGTTTATCAAGACATTTTGCAGGAAAATGTACGACCATTTGTCAGCCAACTGAAGCTCCGCAGAGGATGGGTGATGCAACAGGACAATGACCCAAAGCATACAAGTAATTCAACAAAACAATGGCTGCAACAGCACAGAATACGCCTTCTGGAGTGGCCCAGTCAGAGTCCTGACCTCAACCCGATTGAAATGCTGTGGCATGACCTTAAAAGAGCGATTCACACCAGACATCCCAAGAATATTGCTACACTGAAACAGTTTTGTGAAGAGGAGTGGTCCAAAATTACTCCAGATCGTTGTGCAGGTCTGATCTGCAACTACAGGAAACGTTTGTTTGAGGTTATTGCTGCCAAAGGAGGGTCAACCAGTTATTAAGTCCAAAGGTTCACATACTTTTTCCTCCCTGCACTGTGAATGTTTACATGTTATGTGCAATTAAACCATGGCAACATCTAATGTTTGTGTAGTATTCTGTTCAGCAGACTGTGTTCTTCTATTGTTGTGACTTAGATGACGTTCAGAGCACATTTTATGCCCAATTCATGCAAAACTCCACGTAATCCCAAGGGGTTCACATACTTTTTCTTGCAACTGTAGGTATTAAAAACCACTTCAAGACTGCCTAACAGTAAATATAAATTAAGGTTTTGAAGTGGCTTACCGGGGTTATGGGTGCTGCTGGATGCTATAACCCAGATATTAAAATTTTCCTCAGCCACTGCTCTTTCCGCTAAGTAGGGATTTCAGTAGCAGATTAGCTTTTTTTTACTTTTAGAGGCATCAGGAGGGATCACTCCAGCTTTTCAGTGGTTCCTGGGCTTACCTGTCTCATCAGATTGTCCGGGAACCAATCCAGCTGTTGCAGCGGCTGGCCATCAAGATGAACAGAGGAAAGATGGCCTCCGTTCAGCTCTATGACAGCCTGGAGGCTTCACTTTACAGTTGCAGCGGTTTACAGTTGATGTAAACAATGCCATTTGTGGGGGGAAGCATTAGATCAATGTTTTTTTTTAATCTCATACTTTCAGAGGAGAGGACCTGCAATGCTTTTGACATGCTGTTATCACAAGGGATGTTTACATTTCTTGTGGTAGCAATAAAAGTGATTAAAAAAATTTAAAGGGGCAGTGTAAATAAATAAATAATAATTTTTAAAAAGTTTAAAGCGCCCCCATCCCCCATGCTCACATGCAATGACGAATGCATACGTAGGTCATGCTCACATATGTAAATGATGTTCTCACCACACATGTGAGGTATCACCGCAAGAGCAATAATTCTAGCACCAGACCTCCTCTGTAACTCTAAACTGGTAACCTGTAAAAATTATTAAAACGTTGCCTATGGTGATTTTTAGGTACCGTAGTTTGCCACCATTCCACGAGTGTGCGCAATTTTAAAGCATGACATGTTAGGTATCTCTTTACGTGGTGTACCATCATCTTTCATACTTGACAAAACAATTGGTTATAGATATATATAATTTTTTTTTTAAACACTTGCCTACAGGGCACTTATACCCCCTTCCTGCCGAGGCCAATTTCCAGCTTTCAGCGCTGTCACACTTTGAATGACAATTGCGCGGTCATGCAACACTGTACCCATATGACATTTTTATAATTTTTTTGTGTGACAGATAGAGCTTTATTTTGGTGGTATTTAATCACCTCTGGGATTTTTATTTTTTCTTAAACAAACCAAAAACCACTGAAAATTTAAAAAAAAAAATGTTTTTTCTTAGTTTTTTTGTTATAAAATTTTATAAATAAGTGATTTTTTTCCTTCACTGATGTGCGCTAATGAGGCTGCAGTGATGGGCACTGATACGCTGCACTGATGGACACTGATAGGTGGCACTGATGGGCACTGATGAGAGGCACTGGTAGGTGGCACTGATGGGCATTGACAGGCATCACTGATGAGCACTGAAAGGCAGCACTGATATATGGAACTGATAGGCGGCACTGATAGATGGCACTGACTGGCACTGATAGGTAGCACTGACTGGCACTGTAAGGTTGTACTGACTGGCACTGTTAGGCGGCACTGATAGGCAGCACTGACAGGCACATAAATGTGGCACTGATGCACACTGATATGTGGTACTGGCTGGCACTGATTGGCATTGATAGGTGGCACTGACTGGCACTGATGGGTGACACTGAAAGGCAACTCAGATGGGCACTGATATATGGCATTGATGTGGCACTGATGGGCACTGGCAGGTGGCATCAATGAGCACCGAGAGCTGGCACTGATGGACACTGACAGGTGGCACTGCTGGGGCTACACAGATCATCAGGGCACACTGATCATCAGTGCTCTGATGATCTGTGTACATGTCCCCTCCGAGGAATGTCGATTACCAGCTCTCCTCTCAGCTCTGATAACCGGCATTTCCCTGTTTACATGCGATCACCTTGGGCCCGTCATTGGACTATATGGCGGGCAGGAGGCGGTTAATAAATTAATGTGGTTCTTTCTCTGAAGATGTGCTTGGCACGTAACGCACAACGAGGAGCCTACGCATGCCTTGACGTCACGCCGTCGGAGCATCGTGGAGCTCCGGCGGCCACTACATCTGACAGGACGGTTAGTCCTGTCTGCTTTTCGTTTGGTATTGTTGCCATTATACTAGATGCATCCTGCCTATTTTTAATAAATATTTTTTAACTATACGTCACTATGGGCATTTTTTCTTGATCCCTTGTGGGGAGCATCTTTTCTCTCAGATATCGTTGGTGTACAGTGGAGGAGCAGTGTTTTTCTTTGGTGGAGCCGTGATCATTTTCTGCCATCTAGTGGATTTCTTCTGCCTAGCTCTGTATCATCGTGTGGACCTTCATTGATCAAGAGAATACATCTACCCTCCCCATGCTGATGAATACTTTATGAACTCCATTCTTCCTACACTGCACAATTTATGTGCACTTCTGGTTAGTGTGCATTGTTACCCTAGGTCACCATAACTGGGACTTTTTTTGATCATTTTTTATTGTCACATTTAATTTCTAGCGCTGCACTTTTATTTAATAAATAAATTAATGTGTTTTTTTTTTAATGCCTTTGAAAAACCACTGCGCAAATACAGTGTAACATAAAAAAATTGCAATGACCGACATTTTATTCTCTCTAGGGTCTCTGCTAAAAAAAAAAAAAAAATATATTTATATATATATAATGTTTGGGTTTTCTAGCAAAATAAATACTGAGGTAGGGAAGTGTCAGAATAGGCCTGGTCCTTAAGTGGATAAAAATGTGTATATTGATCTTGCATTTATGTACGTTATATTTCCAGTTTTTCTGTTGGTCATGGTCACAGCGGTCTGTGTCCTAATATAATAGTGGTTGTGGGGAAAGAGTGTGTGGGTTAAAGTACAATCTGAGGGCGTTAGGGTTGGTGTGTGGGGTGGGTGAAAAGGTGGAGCTAAAGCAAGTGGAGATAACCGCGAAAATAAAGAGGTGATCACCACAGCCATCATGACCCTCCCAACCATGACAAGCTTCACACACGTGGGCCTAATATCGGCCGGCCGAAGTTGGCTTTGGCAGAATGGGCATGTTGGAAAACCAACATCTGATCGGCATCCATACTAACATTGGATAGTTAGTACAGTGAGCTCCTCCCGAGCACCTCAGGGTTTTTTTTGTTCAGCTTCTGGGTTGAATGAAAAAAAACTGATGGTGTTTACCCAGCATAAGGCTTCCTCACATGTTCACTACAAAGCTCACTTTCCTAGGGTGGTTAGACACCAATTCTGCAAGCAGAGCCAGGTGAGGTGAGAAGGTTCTTACCTACTACTTACCTCATGCACAGTGTTTTCTAAATTGTGTCCCTGAATGTGTTGGATTTCTATCATTTGTGGTGAATAGTATACTGAGCATATGCAGGGATTATGGTGTTCATGATGGCAGCAAGTCAATATCCTGGAAAGAACATTTAGGAGAGAAAGCTGATATATTAATTCATCACTTTATCATGTGACATAACATCACATGCCAATATTCCTTAAAAAAAAATCAAATCAGTTCATTATTTAAAAATTCCAGAAAGGGGAGGTATTCGATTAAGTACAGGGTTTATCCAGTACCAAGTGGACATTGCTTATACAATTTAAGTGATTAGCGATAGGCATGTGGCACTATTCCCTAACGGGTTTTGGGTCTCCCTCTGCAAAGCCAGGCAACACGCATTTTCTTTCACACTTACAAACTGGAGTCAGTAAACAGTGCTTGAGCTTGGTTTTGTGATTTTATTGAGGGGTTTAAAATTTGGATGGGGTCTAGGGGTATATGCGTGGTCCGAAGGAACTGCAGAACTTTGAGGACAAACTCCTTAGCAACTATATACAAAAAATGTGGATTTACCAACAGTCTCTTCCTTGAAAGCACAAAAGGCTCTCTGGTGTACCTCCTCAGTTCCCGAATGATTCCTCATCTTCGCCCAGGTGCCTGAGGATATCCCTGAGCAAAGGAGCCCAAGAACTGTCTGGCTGAACAGTCCAAAATGAGAAGCTAGTTGGGTCTTGCATTTGACTGCCTTCTCCCCTTATCTAGCCCAGGGGGTGTAGGAGTACTCACACTGTCCTCTCCTTTAAGCTTGGTGGCTACCTTCTGACCTTTCACTGGGCTGTCTCCTTCTCTGCTGTACAGGCTGTCCTCCTGTGGAGATGTAAGGCAGTGGAGAACATCCTGTCCAGCACCAGCCTGCAGGTAGGCCCTCTTCTCCCTGGGGCCCCCTCCCAGGCTCTTCCACACTCCAGTTTTCCTCAGTCCATCTTTCACCAATCAATGACTCTGCTCCCAGGCTCTCTCATATTTGAGGGTTTTCCTGGTCACCATGCCCAGCCTCCTGCCAGGGGATTGGCCAAAGTCCCTCCAACGTGCAGATCTAGGCCTCTTCCCATCGTCCACCTCTGTTCGGGAAAGCTCTGAAGTTTCTGGAAAGGTGGAAAGTCTCCAGAAGCCCTGACCTGCTAGAGCCTCCTGCCTGTCCTGAGGTAACCTTTCTACCTCACTCCCAGGCTGCTACGCAGCCTCTGCCTAAAAAACAACAAACAGCCTATCTGGCTAAGCTAGGGTGCATTACAGGCCTTTAGGTATTGGGAGGACAAGAAATGAGACATATTTGGGCCTTATGCCCACTGGGTGTCAAAAACACCAATTTTAAGGGTGTTTGACTTTTTTCTGCCTCTATATGCCCTTTCAGGTTAGCTTATGTGTTCTTGCACACATAGGCATTTACTGATATTTAGAGGCAAAAAAAAAAAATCACTTTTATGTTCAGGAGAGGAGTGTTCCAGCAGAAAAAACGCCAAATGTGCATAACTACGTGTAAACACACCTATGCATTAGGTGCGTTTAGTACTTGAGCATTTTATTCATTTTGATGGATAGAATAAATAAATATTCTGGCCAAGTAAATGAATGAACACCCAAATGCCTGATGCTCTTGGACACACTGAATGTGGTTTTTAGACACATTTTTAATGCTGCTTTTCTCCTGCCGAGAGAAAAGGCGTTCCATAGAGCTGGGCAAACGTCCGATATGCATGAGGCCTTATAGGACTTGCCAGCAGCTGTCCATATTTGCCAACATGTACATGTAATGCACAGTTTCCATGAATAAGGTACAATTCAAATTGAGTGTAGGATTTCATGAGAGAGTATGTAATAAATGGATATGCTAATTCATATATAATTTATTAACTTTGACTACTCTCGGTTATTATCTGTTCCCAGGGAGATTTAGTAAATAATACACACTTTGTGCAGGATATCTGGAGACAAAGACACATCTCAGTAAAAGGGTTATAAGATCAGCAAATGCATAAAAAGCAGTGAGAACTGACAGCGCTCCAAGGATTACCTCCATGGCACTGTCAAGCTACCTTTTCTCTCTGTGTAGATATTGCTATGGTTACTATCAGTCAAACACTGCTGCCAGAACAAAATTTAAGACAAAAAGCAGTATGAAAAAAAAAATGGAAGCAGCCTCCAAACTGGTATCCTGACACATTTTATTATGTTTGAATTAGCTGAATATAAATAGAGTCTTGTAGGTAAGAAGTGAACTCGCAGCTCATGGAGCAGCCAACTAAAAATTCATTTTCACTGATGAGCTCATGTTTGTTTAGTTACTTTAATACTTAATTTAACAGGAATGTTATATAGCATAGATTATTAACAAAATATCTATATCCACATTTTTTTAATCTCATAATTTTTTAGGTTTTCAATGAATTAGAACAAAATAAGGAGACATCATCCAGAATGCAAAGATAAAAATGTGAAATAACAAACAATTTAAGAGAGAGAAAGGGGGGAAAGCGCTCCTTGCTGGATTGGGTCCAATCAGAAATAAGAATTTATGGAATTAGGGTTCTATATATGTTCCAGAAGGTATCCATAAAGCAAGTAGTTTTAGTACTGTCAAAGGCAAACCAACATGAGCATTCTTAGGAACCATCAGTTTAAGCCTCTCCTCCATCGGAAGGTGCTATACATTTTCAGACAATAAAGTCCTGAGTCGCCCTGCAGTCTAAAGAAAGACTGCAAAGGGTGTCCACAAAAAAAGGAAAAGGGGGTGGAAAGGGATTGACACCTTGGACAAACAGGACAGAAAGAAGAAGAAAAACAAGGGGAGGGGAGGTTGAGCAGTTTGGGGGAATATCTACATGATTTTACTTGCCCTTTTATATATTGTCTTAGTTCTCATCACTATGTTTAACCTAGACCTGAATTGGAATTTACACACTGACTGGATAGATTCCTCCCATAGCCCCAATTTAAAGAACCACTATTGTGATTATAAGCAGGACCACCTGTAAAGGGGTAGCACCTTCCCTCTTGTATGGAGCCCAGGCCCCATAAGTTCAACAGGGGGCCCAGTGCAGCAGAAGTGGATGCAGTTACTGAAACCAATTTCCCTGTGGCTCACCTTGTGTTTACAAATGCTTCAGTTTATGAATGAACAGGGAGCCTCTGTATAGAGGGATGGAGGGATCCGTGAGACATGGTGTGTTTGTTTAGACCCCTGATATTCATCAACTCCCACAAAAAAATGTAAAAATTAAAAAAGTGTAAAAAAAAGTATTAAAAAAACATATGTAGCACTACCCCCTTAGGAGTCACTAAGTTTTGGGTCTCTAAAGAAAAAACTCCTTACCAACTATGTTCAAGTCCATGGACAACAATTCTCTCCTTTGAAGAGTTCTACAGCCCTCCTGGTATACCAACTAAGTCCCCAGATGAATCGTCCTCTCCAGCCAGCTGCCTAAGGGTATCCCTGGCCAAGGGGACCCAGAAGCTGCCACTTAGTAAAGCAGCCCCAGATGAGAAGCTAGTTGGGTTTTCCACCTGACTGCCCTCTCCCCTTATCCTTCCCAAGGGGTGTAGTAATTACTCACTCTGTCTCTCCTGTGAGCTTGGTGGGTTGGTGGCTGCCTACAGGTCTAATGCTGGGCTGGCTCCTTCCCTGCCACAGGCTGTCCTCTCTCTGGGGATGATAAAGCAAAGAGATCCTTTTTTTTCCTGCCTGTAGGTAGGCCCCTCTTCTGGGCCCCTCTCAAAGGCTACACATTCCAACCTTCACTCCA